GCATGATTGGGGGGGGGTGGCAAGAAGGCCAGGTGTGGCTGTAGCAGAGGGGTGAGGGGGAGTACGGAGTAGGGGAGGAGATCTGAGAAGCGGCCATGGGACTCACCATGTAGGGCTTCATGGGCTGTGGTGATTGCATGGGAGAGTTTTGGTTGGGTGGGTCAGGTTTCAGCAGAGGAATGATGGGATTCCACTTAGGTTTTTTTTTAAAAAAATATATATATTTTTAGTTGTAGGTGGACACACAGTATCTTTATTTATTTTTATGTGGTGCTGAGGATGGAACCCAGTGCCTCACACATGAGAGGCAAGCGCTTTACCATTGAGCTACAGCCCCTTTCCCTCCACTTAGGTTTTGAGGTCACCTCGACTGTTGCATGGAGCATGAATGGGAACACAGAATGGGTTAGGTAGAACAATGGTCTTCCAAAGACAGCCCCATACGAATTTCTGAAAACTGTGAATATACTAGGTTACGTAGCAAGAGAGAATTAAGGGAACAGATGGAATTCAGATTGCTAATTAGCAGACCTTAAATATGGAGATCCTGCTGGGTTATCCAAGATGGGCCCAGTGTAATGTCAGGGGTCTTTAAATAAGGAAGTGGGAGAGAAAGGTGTCAGAACAAGAGAGGTGTGGTGTGACAGCTAAGTGGCCATTGCTGACCTTGAAGATGGAAGGGGGTCATGAGCCATGGAATACAGGCAGTCTCTAGAAGATAGAAAAGGTAAGAAAGGGGATTCTCCCAGAGAGCCTCCAGAAAGGACTCCAGCCCTGCCGCCATCTTGATTTTGGCCCACTGGGATCCACTTGAAACTTCTGACCTCCAGAACTGTAAGATAATAAATTTGAGCTGTCATTATGTAATATTCGTAACACCATCAATCTGATACGAAGACACAGGAGCCCGAGTAGGAGGCTACTGTCATAGTTTAGATAAGCTTTGGCAATGGTTCAAGACATATTTGTGTTGGCTTCTCTTCCATGCCGTTCACCAGGCTGTGGCAGGACTGGACTTCTTATGAGTTTCCCCCCCAATACATCACTCCAAAGCACAACCGGTTCCCATTCATGGGATTCCATGTCACCTTCAGGGAGGAGGCAGAGATGAACACGTGGTGGCAGTGTCAGGAGATGACAGCTTGGGAACAAATAGCAGTGCTTGCCAGTGGACCGGTGTGTGGGTGAGACCTGGGCAGGTCGGCACTTAGGCAGGAAGAGGTGAACATTTTGTCCTGGGTCCTGCCGACCTGCTGGGCGCTCCTCCGAGGACGGGAGCGGGTACCTCAGATGACTTGCAGATGCCCCACGCAAGCAACGCAGAGAGGGAACTTCCAACGTCCCTCTTCGGACCTCTGATAATGACTCTCTGCTGCAACGGATCCATCTATTGCAAAGAGAATTCCTTCTTTCTGAGGCTTCTCCAGCGATGAGAGGCAATGCCTGAGCAGCGTATTTGCCTGTTAAGGGATTTATTTCAAAACCGAAATGAAAAAATGTCTGGGTTCTGGGATCTGATTCCAAGGATAATGCCCAGGCTCAAATATTCCATGTCCGTGAGTATTTTTTAAGGGTTGGTGGTAACTTTACAAATGTGGATGCTATTTTAGAAGATTTTTCTTTCTTTCTTTTTCTTTTCTTTTTTTTCCTTGGGGGGGGGGAGGGTAGGTAACCAGTGGCCCTAAGCTGTCTTTTATATTTAGAAGCCGGGATCTAGGGTTATGTATCAAGATTCATGCGTGGTGCCGTTCTGCTGAATGCAGCTGTCTTCCTGTAGGCCAAAGATAATTTGCTGATCCAGGAGCTGAGGCCAGCGATTTTATGTCTGCATCTGCTTCTGCCCATAACTTGTGGGCACAGACGGGGCAGCCTCAAGAGCTGCAGCTCTCCAAGCCTGGGGATGCCAACCAAAGGCAGTGAGATGGGCATTTGTTTCCTGAACCTTCCCCCCCCCCTCACCTACTGCTGGTGCTCTGTCTTGCAAAGTGACTGTGTGGTACTCTGGTCATCCTGTCCTGTCATTTTGGTGTGGCCTTCAGATGGTGTGTGTGTGCCTGTTCCCCCTCTTTAGACCATGGGCAGCCTCTCCAGGGGTCCCTCTTCGTGGTACTGAAATTTCCAAAGCCTCCCCCAGCTTCTGTGACTGAGCAGGTGCCCCACAAATGTTGGTCGGAGGAGGAGACAGAGGACAGTGATTACACAAGAGGGACATGGAAAAGCCACTAGATCCCTAGAGTCCTGTGGGTGGAAGGCGTAGTTGGGAGCAGAATGGTTCATGTGGACAGTGGTTGTTTTTCTGCCAGGCTCTGTCCTTCCTTCTGGTAAAAGCACTTTGGTTCTCTTCTGGGAAACCACCCTGCCCACACCTTCAATCCATAAAGATTGCATTGGGCTAGCCTCGCACTCAGCTCCAGGGCTTGACCACTGTCCATGGGAATGGACAAACAGGGTGCTGAGTACCCCCTGGCCACAGCAGCGATTTGTATTGGCATGGGGACCACATGGCTGTTCCTATCTCAGATGAATTGTGCAATATTTTGGATGAAACCAGATTTTTCTTCCTGTAGTTACTAAAGGAATGTTTTATTTCCACAGGTGCTCCTAAGTGGGTAGGAAGAAGTTCAAATCTATGGGCAGCCATCTCGTTGCCGTGAAACCCAAACCAACTCATTAGGCTGGGACTGAGAATTGCACAGGGAAGAGCTGTTATTAACAGTGAGCACCCAGATCTAGCCATACCTGAAGCTATTCTCCCAGAATTTTCAGTTATGTAAATAGTAAACTCAGGCTGGGGCTGTAGCTCCGTGTTAGAGCCACTTGCCTAGCACATGTGAGGCACTGGGTTTGATCCTCAGCACCACACAAAAATAAATAAATAAAGATGGTATCGTGTCCATCTACAACCATGTATATATGCTATCCCACTCCTCGGTATTTAGCCTGAAGAATTAAAGTCGGCATACTAGAGCAATCCACGCACACCCCAGTTCGTAGCAGCACGATTCACAATAGCCACACTATGGAGTCAGCCTAGGTGTCCATCAACCGATGAATGGATCAAATACATCTGGTATATATACACACAATGGAGTTTTATCCAGCCATAAAGAAAAATGAAATGATGTCATTTGCAGAAAAATTGGATGGAACCTGAGACTGTTATGTTAAGGGGAATAAGCCAAACTCAGAAGGTCAAGGGTCATGGGTTTTTCTCTCTTAGGTGGAAGCTAGAGAGGAGGAAGGAAATGAAAGGTGGGGGTGGGGGTGTCTCATGAAGATCAAAGGTGATCAGTAAAATAGAGGAAAGGGATAGGGGAGGGAGGAGGGGAGGGGATAAGGAAGTGCTGGGAGTGATATTGGCCAAAGCACGATACATCATATAGTGTGCATGTGTGAATATGTAACAAATCCCCCCATGATGTACAACTATCATGCACCAGTAAAAAGATGGACCCCAGGGCCATTTTATGCCCTAAGTTATCTGAGCATGGATGCCTCGTTCAGCCCCCGTCTCTTGGCCTCTCTGTGGCCTTCTCTATGGAAGGACACTGGGGTGGGGGAGCCACATTTTGGTTCTGGAAGTCTCCAGAAGTCCCAAGGAAACATAATTCACTCACTGTGATAAACACGCTTTACTTAAAACCGTTTTTATTCTGCCTCTCAGCAACACTTTTCATTGAATTTGAGGAAAAGACCAGGGACCCGAACACATACAAACAAACAACCAGATATTACAAACAGAAATGAGGATCCGATCTCCTGGAATGGTGCGTCCCTGTGTGCCGAGAACCCGTGTCCCTGATGCAGCGTCCTCCGGGGACCCGAGCTGGCTCATAATGAGCATGTGGGTGGGATGACGGGTAGAAATGGGTGTCCATTCACTTTTATTTATTTATTTTTGCCAGGGCTCAGTATTTTAACCAATGCCTGAGATTCACAGTCTCTAAGAATCATGACTCGTATTGGTAGACACTTAGCATTCCTCCCCCGGGGAACACACCTATTGTGACAATTAATTTTCATAACACGGTGAGGTAAGTAGGCAGGTGTTCTTATCTGCATTTTCCAGAGGAAGAAACTGGAGGCAGAGAGAACCCCCAGAAACTTGCCTGACATCAGCTTGCATAGCTAGTTAGTGGCAAGAAGAAAAAAAAAAGGCACTGGAACAGATATAGTTTGACTTTTAGTTTCTTATTCTTTCCATGAAAATTCACTGCTTTTTCTTCTGCACTGGAAAACTCATTATCACTGTGTTTCTAATGTTCGTTTTTGAAATTTGCTACATATCTATAAATATGAATTTATTTGAACAGAAATGACATAACACATCCATCTCTGCAGAGCCACAAATGGAAGGTAGTAAATAAAATATATAACATGAAAATAAAACAATACCATTGAGTTCCATCTAGATAGCAGACCGAACCCCAAGGGCAGCTCCTTCTTTGTTAAAAAGCACAAAGAACCATAGGGTCAGGAAGGTGTCAAGGACCCACTGGCACAAAATTGAGACTTGCTCCCGGCTGTATCAGATTGAGAAAGAAGAGAAAAGGGGAAACATTCTCTGTGATGCAATATTACTTAACAGTATGTCTATCAACTGCTTGGAAACCAGCCTGGGCGCCACCCGTGGTACACGCCTTCTCTCTGCAAGACACCGTTAGCGTGTTCCAACAGGTAGAATCATTGTGTCACAAAGCCAGTCCCAAGCTGGGTGCGGTGGTGCACGCCTGTCATCCCAGAGACTCGGGAGGCTGAGGCAGGAGGATCGCAAGTTCAAAGCCAGCCTCAGCAACTTATGGGGCCCTCAGCGACTCAGTGAGACCCTGTCTCAAAATAAATAAATAGATAAACAAACAAAACAAAGCCAGCGCATTCCCACCTTAGGGGTTTGCGGACAGAAAAGAAATACGAGGGGGTGGCATAGCTGGGTGGCGTTCGGGAAAACCAAAGAGCTTGCCTGCCACCTCTAAAAAAATTGAAAGAACAAACACACACAATTCAACTGCATTAGACAACTTTAAACATGCCGCAGAGGCCCCAGCATCCACCGCGCTTTCTGGAAACTTCCTACTCCCCCCCAGTTCAGACCTCCCCACCCCGTGAAAGGAGACATCTGGAGATCATCTTGAGGGAGGAGGCATGGACACAAAGCTTGGCTCCACTCAGAATGGGAGCCTTCTTTTCTTCTTCTTCCTCTTCTTTATATACTAATCGGGGACATTGGCTGATGTGGCCGTGCTGTTTGGGTTGCTGAATCTTGGACTTTTGTTGTTGGTTGGCCAGGGACCTGCCTCTGGAGAGTCCTGGAGGAAAGGATCTCACAGTCCAAAGTCGGGGATCCATCCCTCAGTGTCTTTGGGGAAGGGGGGTGTGCAGATGAGGACCATCCTCCACGCTGGCGGCTGCAGCAGGCTTCTCAGGAGCTGTGAGGTACAGACAGACAGTGAGACACACAGACAGACAGGCAGACCCACAGCGCCCGAGCCTCGGTGGCCGGCTTCCTTGGCTTGCCGTCTGCCTTACTTAAGGGAGATTATTCTGGGTAAACAGATGTTGAGAAGGACAAGCAGGTCTGCGTGCTTTGGACCCTGAGCAGAGGATTCCTTTTGAGAAATATTTAACATTTGGAAAGTCTATTTTATGGTCCACGTGGCACATGGAAAAAGCTGAATGACACAGATGCCACCAAATGCCTCTAGCATGTCTGAATCCCATTCTCCTTTCCAATGGAGAGTGGTGCTGCTAGAACTTCTGCGTGCCTCTACAGCCATTTTTTTTCCCTCTGCATTTAAATCCAGAAATATGCAGTTGGAAATTATATATTCATTTTGTGTGTGTGTGTGTGTGTGTTTACTTAATGGGCTCATGCTGTATACAGTTGTCCCTCAGTATCCTTGGAGGGTTGGTTCCAGACTCCCAAGGATAAAAAAATCCACAGATGCTCAAGTCTTTTATAGAAAATGGAACATCCTAACATACTTTCAATCATCTGCGGGTTACTTATACTATCTAGTACAATGTAACTGCCGTGTAAGTAGTTGTTACACTGTTTTGTTTAGGGAATAATAACAAGAAAAAAGTCTATGCATGTTCAGTACAGATGCAATTTAAAAAGTAATTTGTTTCCCCTGCTGTTGGTTGAATAGTCAGATGCAGAGCCCACAGAAATGGAGGGCTTACTGTATGTTTTTCTGCAATTTTTTTTGTTTACTTGTTAATTTATTCGATAAACAATTACATGATGGGCATCACTTTCAGTACTGGTGATTCTTTTTTAAATATATATATTTAAAAATTAAATAATATATTATATTATTAATATAATATTAAATTATATAAATATAATATATTAAATAATATAATATATTATTAATATAATATATTAAATAAAAAAATATATATATATATTAGTAGTGGGTGGACACAGTACCTTTATTTTTATGTGGTGCTGAAGATCACACCCATGGCCTCATGTTCTCCCACTGAATCACAACCCCAGCCCCCACTGACCCTTTTAATACCTGACAATCACACAGTAGAGAGTGTCAGACAGTGATTTATGCAATTGAATCTTTCCAGCTCCAGAAGGTAGGTACTGTTATTATCCCCATTTTATGCAAGAGAAAACTGAGGCACAGATGGGTTAAAAGACGTGCCCAAGGACCCTGGATTGAAACTCTAGCGCTCTAGCTTCAAAGTAGGCATCCTTAAGGGCTGTGGTCTATAATTATGGGAAATGACAGAAATGAAAACTTTCCTGTGTTTTTCATCCCAGTATGGGGAACCAGGGAGTGGTAAATGCTAGGAAGAAAAGTAAAATTGGATAAAGCTAAGGTAATAGCTGAGCAAGCATCTGAGGAAGAGATGGTATGTGCTGCATGGATATGAATAAACAGAGTTTCAGGCTGAGGCAAGAGCAAGTGCAAAGACCCTGGGGCAGGAACATATTTGCACTCCTCCAACAGAAGAATCCACTATGGCATGATGGGGAGAGTGCCACGAGATGGGTCAGAGAGGCAGCAAACCGATCGTGCAGGGCCTTGTAAAGTTGTAGTAGGACAGATGTTTTCATGTTTAAATGCAGTGTAGTATCCCATCCTGAGAATAAGCTGCTACTTACATAAACTTCCAATGGATGGACATTTAGATTGTTTCAAGGTTTCCCTTATTTCAAACCAAGCTGCCGTGAACTCATTGCATATCTATGTTTCATAACACATGCTGCACGTTAGAATTCCTTGGTGAGCCTAAAACCTGCTGGTGCCCGTTCCTATCACGGGAGATTCTAATAAAATTTCCCCTAGGGTGGGCTCTGGGCTTCAGAATTTTTAAAAAGCCCCCCAGGTGATTCTGATGTGTAGCCGGGGTGCAGAATTACTGTTTCACGTGCATTTGTGTGCACCTGTATCCAGGGTGGATTTTGAGAAGTGGAATTGCTGGGTTGGCAGGCATGTGGATTTTAAAGTTTAATAAGTATCATTGTCCTTTGGAATCCAAGGAGGATTGGTTCCAGGACCCACCCTGGCCACCCAAGTCCACAGAAGCTCATGTTCTGTATATAAAATGGCAGAGTATCTGCGTAGCCCTTTTGCACATCCTAGATCCTCTCTAGACCACTCATAATCCCTAATGCAATGTAGATCCTGTGTAAATCGTTGTTATATTTTATTGTTTAGGGATCAATGACAAAAAAAATCTGTACATTTTTAAGATAGATGCAATTCCCCCTCCCCAAATTTGTAGTTGGTAGAATCCACAGGTGTGAAACCTATGGATACAGAGTGCTGACTACACATTCAAGTTGACTTGCCAGAGACTATCCCATTTACTCCTCCACCAATGGTATTGTATCCATTTTTTTGCACCCTGCCAACACAGATATTATCCATCGTTTTAATTGTTTCAATCTGGCAGACAAAATCACACAGTATTTCATTATTGCTTGAATTTGTGCTTCCCCGCTGGCTCGTGAGGGGGACCATCTTTTTTCATGTTTATTCTGATTTCTTCCCCAACATCCCATAAGCTTATGTGCCCCTCACATTTAAAAAATCCATTCTCTGATGGCAACTTATTTCTGACTTATCTCTCCCTCAACTTATCTGAGCCAACAAAGTCCCTTCTGACCTGGGGAAATGGGTGATATCCTCATTTTTCATTATGGAATCACAAAAATTCTCCAAAGACACATCTGGGTAGAAACAACTCCCGGGAAACCTTGCCCTCGCCCATAGTACAGGAAAGAAGACGGATTTGATTTATGGTTTTTTTTTTTTTTTGCAAAAAGGCCACGTTCTTGCTTTAGGCCTACCTTGACATACTTCCCTCCCATCTAGATAGGATGTTTTGAGGCCAGAGAACTGCATTCATGTCAGTGTGTTTATAAGAGAGATGCTTTCCTGGTGAAGAATGGATTAATAGCTCCTCACTCCATGTCCCTATTAATGGGACACAATCTTGGGACCCTTAGCCCTCCCCAAAGGTCAAGTTCTTCCTTAATATAAACCTTGGAACATAAAAGCTCCTAAGGTGAAGAATAACATGCGAGCACTTTTAATGCATGGTTGGATGTGTACCTGGCTATTTAGATATCTCTGAGATCACTCAGAGATTCGAGTTCAGTGGCTCACCTTGTATATGCATTTAACTTATGGCAAATCAACTATTTATGTCACTCAAAAAGAAAAAAAGCACTGGGCATGGTGTGGCATAGATAGACCTGTAATCCCAGTGACGTGGGAGGCTGAGGCATCAGGATTGCAAGTTCATAGTCAGCCTCAGCAACTTAGCGAGGCTCCAAGCAACTTAATAAGAGAGCTGTTTCCAAATAAAAACATTAAAAAGGGCTGGGGATGTGGCTCAGTGGTAAAGTGCCCTTGGGTTCAATCCTCAATACAAAAACAAAAACAACAACCAAAAACACCCGCGGCCCCCAACCCGCCAACAAAAACAAAAACCTTCCAATGGAGGAGGAGATTCTCGCTGCCACTCTACTCCATGGTCAAGAGCCTGGAACATGGTTTCAGGACTTAAGACACCTTCAAAAAGACACAGCTCCACTGTACACTCCCAGATGATCACTGGGTCATCTGAGTGTATCATACTTATGGCTGAGAACACTTGTCTCCCTTGTACCCAAACTTGGTCATGGTTAACTGGCTATGCCACTAAGGAAGTCCCAGTGAATTTCATAGGACATCAAGACAAGTGACCAGGAACATGTCCACAAGGAAGGAGGAAGAGGAAACCACTAACTTCCCAGGAAAAGAACAAGAACAGAGGATTCTAGCAGGCAGCTTAGGTGTCATAGTGTGAGACAATAAAGACTAAATATTTGGTCCCTAATTCTGGATCCTAAGACAAAGTTCCCAATACTCTTGTAGATCCGGGTGCTAAGAGAATCTTCTGTTCCAATATTTGCTCTTTGACTCAAGTTTCTGACACAGAGTTTCTAGAGCCCTTAGAGTTTTCTGGGCAACAGGAGCATCTTTTGTCCTAAAAAGTGACTCTCGGTGGGTGCTGGGTAGACTCGGATGGGGGCTGGTTGCCAGGGGAACACAGCATAGGGTTAGAAGTTTGGAACATTCAGCCTGACCTCCTCACCCCAACTTCCAGGGAGGGGGTAAAGGGATGAAGGGTTAATTGACCATCAAGGCCCATGATGCAATCAATCATGCTTACATAGTGAAGCTTCCATAAAACTCTCCAGAGACAGGTTTCTATTAGGTCCCGCACTGCTGGACGTGTGCCTGGAGGGTGCGGGCTCAGAGAAGGATGGAACCCTCTGTACCCCTTCCTGCATCCCGTGCCCTATGCATTTCTTCTGATGTTCATCTACATCCTTGGGATGTACTTTATAATAAATGAGTAAACATAAGTAAGTGTTTCCCTGAATTCTGTGAATCCTCCCAGCAAGTTAACAGAACCTGAAGACGGGGTTTGAGAAACTCCTGATTTATACCTGATTGGTCCAAAGCACATGTCATAGTCTGGGGCTTATGATTGGCATCTGACATAGGGGAAGTCTCACGAGAATGAGCATGAGCTGGTGGGATCTGACCCTAACTCCTGCAGTGCGCTGGTTTAGGATGGGCATTGGAATTCATTAAGACTGGTAAAAGAGAGGGCCATCGTAGGTGGACACTTCACCTGTGTGATTCATCATTTCACTCTCCCCAGCAACTCAAGGGCAGAATTTTTTTTTTTTCTGATTTGGGGGAGACTCCAAGTTTCTGATTCCGTTTGGACCAGTACATTTCTGTCAACACAGTGTTCAAGTCAAACTTATTGAACATTTTGACTCAAGTGATTCTCAGATCTTACGAATTGGATCACATCAAATCCTATCTTTCTTTGCCCAATTACCACATGGCTGACGCAGATATCCTGTAAAATTAGAATGAATAAGACCTTCTGATGAATT